AGACCATAATAATGTGACATTTGAGTTGAGTCTTATTTTCCTCAATTTTTGTAATGCCTTTGAATAATATGAGGGACATGACTCGCAATATATCACAGAATCGACTCGAAAATATTTTGCATAATAATTTTTTTTAAAGCCCAATGGTTGTTGAGACAGTTAATGAACTAAGAGTTTCAATTGAAGACATACGCAGTCAGAGCGAGTTGGAGCAGAACTTCATTACCCGTCTATACACAGTCTATGGTCTGTGAGGTGTAAGACAGAGACGAAACCCTCGTGAACCAAAACATGTCCTCTGTCGACAAAAGCATCACCTTCAGTTATTTTGAAACCATCCCAGAGTTTTCCACGGATCCACACTTTTGTAAAACTGTCTCTGGCTTTAGTCATGATTTATGCGTGATGTGCTACTTTCCACAGGCTTCACCCACAGGAGCGGTGTCAGTTCATTCTAATGAGCTGATGAAACGCTCTGATGTAACGAGAGGAAACTCAGGAACAGGGTCTGACCAAAGCATCAGAGGGAGCCGGGACATTTTGGCTCTGATGAACGAGAGCCGAGGTGTCAAACTCATTTTGGTCGGGGCCAAGTTTAAACACACAAGACCTTAATTCATTTTTTTACATATTGTTGTGAGTTTGGATATTATTTTCAAGCAGATTAAGCGTCAACCACATCTGGGCCACAGTTTTTTTGATAAGGACAAATGTAATAATTATATGTTTTTTTTTCCTGAGACAATAAGCTTTAAAACTAAGTATAACATGCCATAGTATCCCTTCACCATCAATGCTGGAAGTTACTGTTAAAGGGAAATTTGCAAATCATTTCAGGGGCCACTAACAATGGTCTTCAGTTTGACATGTCTGAACTAGAACATGGAGCTGAGAACAGGACTTTTATAGACTACAATACAAATATAATTGCTAAAAAGAAGTAGCTATCTGCACTTTCTGTTTCATAAAAGTAGCTCTCATGTCATGTCTCCTGAATGCTCAAGTTTTTTCATTTTTAGAATATTGCAATGTGTAAAGAATCGCAGTAATATTGAATTGATAAGAAAACCTGTATTTGTCCGGCAGTTTGGAAATTGTGGCCCAAACATTGCATTACTATTGACATTTTGATAGTATTACGGTATTTTTGCCCAACATTTTTGCCCCTAGTCCCATACAGGAGGCCCACGCTAGACCTACGCAAACACAGGGAGAACATGCAAACTCCACACAGAAAGTCCTGGAGGAGAAGTCGAACTCAGAGCCTCAGATGAACTAGAACAGGGACAGGAGCAGAGGACAGGACATTTCCATTTCAAACTGTGATCCCGACTGCTATGAAAGGCTTGCATTGGGGGCTGTGACGCTCACTGAGGCCTGCAGGTGGCGCTAGTGCCCCTGAATGCTGCAGATTGAGTGGAATCCTGATAAAAAGCTGCGTCTGCTCATTAAACACAGCACTCAGAGGAAAGTGGAGAGAACAGCACCCACGGGAGCTGGCTTTCAGAGAGGAGGCTTTACAACTCAATCAGCATTCTGTTCTTAAAGCTGGGGTACGTGATATTAAAGCTGGGGTATGTAACTTTCAAACCACGACACTGGAAATCTAATAAAGTCCATGTCCATTCCCCATTGCTGTCAGACTGTACAATAACTTACTTTAAGTCACTGATGCACTAGGACTAAAAACCTGCTCTACTATTGCCACCATTTCTTAAAGTGCCACTTTTTTATTGTACATAATTATATCCTGCACAGACTATACATTTATTTTGCCTTTAACATGTCACACATTTCTGTCTTTTGCACAAATCTGAGTGATTCTATCTGTGCCAAATGTGACATGTACATTTCTCCAGTGTGAGAAAGTCTATCTCATCTTATCTTGTCACTAGGTCGTGGCTTCTATCACTAGTTTTCACGTGTATTTTTCTGTATCTTTAGATCAGCTTTTTCAGAGAGAACAGTGAAAAAGCCCTCTCTCAGTCAATCCGCTCTCAGCCCAAAGGCCCAAATAGTGACTCTCGGGGATCGCACATAAAGATTATGTTTTATAATCAGATGAAAACAGCATGTTGTAGTTTGACTGGTTCATGTGAATAAGTGAGTAATCTTTACACTTAACATTTTACTTTCTGTTGAACAAACATGCATCATTTATTATGTCATGGTCATATCTGATACTGGTGTCAACACAGGTACTACTACATTTAGACAGAAGGGGTGGGGGGATGTGTTTTCTATTTGTTTAGCTCAAGCTTTAGTGTAAATCTGATGGAGCAACACCGCCCCCTCAAGGAAACAGGAGGAACAGCAGGCAGCTCCAAGTTCTAACTACTTTTAGCCCAAACCCTTGTGATAAAAGCAAATGTTTTAGAGCCAAGAGCTAGTGACAGGGATTTATTCTCAGAGTTCTGTTGCTGTGGTCTGAAAGTTGCGTATCCCAGCTTTGAAGTTATGAACCGCAGCTTCTCCTCTTCTCTGTAGTTTTGACTCAGTGAAGGTTTCTGCTGTTGTAGATGGAGGCACACTGCCCTCTGGTGGACACAGCAGGAAACACAGGTACATGTGCAGACCTGCTTTTCATTATCACATTCTAATGGTTTTCTCACTGTTTAGACGCTGACCGAGTCTGTACCGGGTTTGGAACAAGACTGGACCAGGACAGGACCTAGGACTGGACCCGGATAGGACCAAGACTGGACCAAGACTGGACCAGGACAGGACCAGGACAGGACCAGGACAGGACCAAGACTGGACCAAGACTGGACCAAGACTGGACCAAGACTGGACCAAGACTGGACCAAGACTGGACCAAGACTGGACCAAGACTGGACCAGGACTAGACCAGGACTGGACCAAGACTGGACCAGGACTAGACCAGGACTAGACCAAGACTGGACCAAGACTGGACCAAGACTGGACCAAGACTGGACCAAGACTGGACCAAGACTGGACCAAGACTGGACCAAGACTGGACCAAGACTGGACCAAGACTGGACCAGGACTAGACCAGGACTGGACCAAGACTGGACCAGGACTAGACCAGGACTAGACCAAGACTGGACCAAGACTGGACCAAGACTGGACCAAGACTGGACCAAGACTGGACCAAGACTGGACCAAGACTGGACCAAGACTGGACCAAGACTGGACCAAGACTGGACCAGGACTAGACCAGGACTGGACCAAGACTGGACCAGGACTAGACCAGGACTAGACCAAGACTGGACCAAGACCGGACCAAGACCAGACCAGGAATGGACCAAGACCGGACCAGCACTGGACCAGCACTGGACCAAGACTGGACCAAGACTGGACCAAGACTGGACCAAGATTGGACCAAGATTGGACCAGGACAGGACCGGACCAAGATTGGACCAAGACTGGACCAAGACTGGACCAAGACTGGACCAAGACTGGACCAAGACTGGACCAGGACTAGACCAGGACTGGACCAAGACTGGACCAGGACTAGACCAGGACTGGACCAGGACTAGACCAGGACTAGACCAAGACTGGACCAAGACCGGACCAGGAATGGACCAAGACCAGACCAGGAATGGACCAAGACCGGACCAGCACTGGACCAGCACTGGACCAAGACTGGACCAAGACTGGACCAAGACTGGACCAAGACTGGACCAAGATTGGACCAAGATTGGACCAGGACAGGACCAGGACAGGACCAGGACAGGACCAAGACTGGACCAAGACTGGACCAAGACTGGACCAAGACTGGACCAAGACTGGACCAAGACTGGACCAAGACTGGACCAGGACTAGACCAGGACTGGACCAAGACTGGACCAGGACTAGACCAGGACTAGACCAAGACTGGACCAAGACCGGACCAGGAATGGACCAAGACCAGACCAAGACTGGACCAAGACTGGACCAAGACTGGACCAAGACTGGACCAAGACTGGACCAAGACTGGACCAAGACTGGACCAGGACTAGACCAGGACTGGACCAAGACTGGACCAGGACTAGACCAGGACTAGACCAAGACTGGACCAAGACCGGACCAGGAATGGACCAAGACCAGACCAAGACTGGACCAAGACCGGACCAGGAATGGACCAAGACCAGACCAGGAATGGACCAAGACCGGACCAGCACTGGACCAGCACTGGACCAAGACTGGACCAAGACTGGACCAGTACTCGACCAAGACTCGACCCAAGACTCGACCCAAGACAGGACCAGAACTGAACCATGTCACAGGTCCATAGATGGAGAGATGTTTCCTGTGGTTAAAAATACCCAAAGTGGTGAAGCAGCAGTGAATGGCGTCCTGAGAGATTTATAATGAGATTACACTAATCTGCTTTATCTTTAAAAAAACATTTTTGCACATTTCCGGATTCAGCTGCGAGATTAATCTCAACGGGCTCGACCATCAACAAACAAAGACATAAATAATCTAAGTCCTTCAACAATATTCAGTGTTTTACGGAAAAGCCTCTTCTTAAACTTGTTTATGTTGAAAGAGATCGTGGCGCCCTGTCGCAGGTGAGGGGCCGCGGTACAGAGGTTGGGAGCCCCTGACGTACTCAGCTCTTTACACTCAATGGACTTGTGTTTATATCCAAGTTCCTGAACTCACGACTGCTACAGTTTTCAACATTTCAAAGAACTACTTGTGAAGAACATCATTTACAGACATAGCTTCAGTGGGAATCCATAAAAACAGACACATCGATATAATAAAAAGTGCAGAAATACAGAATAATCAAAGCTGTTTAAAAGAGGATTGAGGAGGAGAGCAACCAATGCATCATAAAGACCCAACTTATGAAGTATGGCTCGTCTTGTAAATACATTTAAATATGTGCAGAATTCACATTTAAGAGAGGCCCAAACTACAGAGCCACTGTGGATGGCTACTTTTCTGTCAGTCTTATTTTGACACTTATATGTTGACACTTATAATCAGAGTCAACACATGATCATAGGCCCAAACTACAGGCTCCACAGTTGTTCAGAGACACTCACTTTGTCTTTGTCGTCGGCAACGTCACACAGAACATCGTCCAGGTCCAGGATCCCTCCATCGCTGTGCTCCAGTCGGTGCACGTGCAGCCAGTAGGAGGCGTCCTAGAGCAGAGCAGAGACGCTTAAAGCAGAGGACAGAGAGATAGATAAGACCCAGAGTCCAGCCCGGAGTCTTTGAGCCCAGAGTCCAGCCCAGGGCTCCTACAGGTTTCTTTATGTCAAATTCAAGTTTTCAGAAGTTTTTAAAGGAGCAGTATGTGAAAATCTGTCGAAAAGTGGTACTGCAACCTCTCCCACCCTCCCCGACTCAGGTTGCCTGATGTACAGACGAATCCAGCTGGGACCATAAAATATCTGAATAGACTGTTGGTTATAGATTCGTTGTTGACAAAACTCTAATAATTGTTTTCACAAAAGCCTCGACAGTAATCCTGTATGAGTGAGAGTATGACCATTTACTGTAAAAGCAATAAAAAAGAAAAAGAAAAACATATGTATTCATTTAAAATATAAAAAACTCACAAATGTTGAAATCAAAGTCTGTAGGAGTTAGACATGGTCATTATTTATAGTGTCTGAGAGTTTTGTGCAGGTGCATGACTTCAGTAAAAGCTATTGTTTGTTTACAAAGCTGGTCTTGCCATTTGTTGACGCTCCCTAAGCGCTTTTCTCGGGGCTTGCAGTGAACTGGATGATTCAATGGATTTATCTGCATTAAAAAAGTGCATTGGATTTGAACAATTGATGTAAATGTGATCATTTTGGCACAATTACTTATGTTAAACAAAGTAGCTTTCATGAGCTATTGACCGCAAAAGGTAGACGCTTAAACTGTGTGTATTTACCTCTGCAGAGGCAGCTGTGACAACAATACAGAGACAGAAATTGTTGTGTGAATGCTGCTAGGCTAATGCTTTTAGGCTAATGCTTTTAGGCTAATGCTGCTAGGCTAATGCTGCTGAATGGCGGTTTGTTTTGGTGCTTTCTGCTGGTGTCAGAGCCTGAGCAATTTGATGACATAATGACCTATCGCAATATGCCGGTAAAACAAAAATCTCTACCGTGGGCAGAATTTATATCGCATACCGCTTATACCGTTTATATCGCCCAGCCCTATTTTATTTATTCCTGGTTTTGTCGTTAATAATTTGAGAATCATAACGAGACCTTTTTACTCCTGCGGCCACATGGTTCTTCACCAGTGACATTAGCTCGACACGGTGAGTTCTGCGCTCGGATCACAGACTTTCTGATTGGTGAAGCGGTGGAGGGCGGGACTTCAAAATGAAAACAATAACAAGATGTAGGACCTGGAAATCTAATTTAGAAATTCAAATATCTCTGAACTACTGTTATCAGTTAAAGAAGTGTTGGAAAAGAGCGTGTTTACTTTTAATAAGAAAATGCCCTGGATCCGTCACTTTAATGTCTCGTTAGTGTTTTCTTGCTTCAGCTCATAACTGTTATTGAAAAAGACAAATTATAGCTCTGTCTATTACATCATAGTCTCAGGATTCATCGTCGTGCGGTTTGTGTGATGTGTTTACACAGAGTAAGATGTAGCGTTTAAGTTCTGTGTGCGCCATATCTGAGCAGAGGCGCCTCGTCCTGCATTGATCTGCTTTTATCAGCATCAGGAACTATGGGAAAACTCTGAGAACAAAGGACCTTTCACATGCGGAGCTGCTGCTGCTGCTACTGCCACTATCACTACCACTACTACTGCTACAGCTACTACTACTACTACTGCTGCTACAGCTACAGCTACTACTACTACTGCTACAGCTACTACTAACACTGCTGCTGTGTTCTCTAATCCTAATTTGTATATAAGATGTATATATTTTTAGTAAAAGACAATAATGAGATACATTTGGCAGAGGTCTGTGCTCTACGAGTGCTTTTTTTTTTAAATATTAGAACCAAAGTAAGTGGAATTTTGTCCACTTTCTGGACCCAGGACTGGACCAAGGACTGGGACCAGGTTCACAAAGATGTTCTGAATTTACCTGGTTCACTTGGACCATATGAACAGGTCCTGGTTCAGCTCTGTCTAGTCCTGGTCCAGACCTGGTTCAGTCCTGCTTCAGTACTGGTTCATCTGCCCAGTGTTGTTGATTCTCTGATCTGTGTTGGCGAATTCAACGGTTTTGTAAAGGCCTACAAGATAGCTTCTGTTCTGGACCCAGGACTGCACCCAGGACTGCACCCAGGACATATCGATAATCGAATCGCAGGAGAAAGTATCGCGATATATCGAAAAATTGATATATCGTCACACCCCTACCCAGGACTGGACCCAGGACTGGACCCAGGACTGGACCAAGGACTGGACCAAGGACTGGACCAAGGACTGGACCAAGGACTGGACCAAGGACTGGACCCAGGACTGGACCCAGGACTGGACCCAGGACTGGACCCAGGACTGGGCAGATGAACCAAGACTGGACGAGGAATGGACCAACACTGGACGAGGAATGGACAAAGACTGGACGAGGACTGGATCCGGTCTGGACGAGGACTGGATCCGGTCTGGACCAGAAATTTAATTCAATTCAATGTATTCTTGTATAGAACAGAACAGTAGCTATCTCGTAGGCCTTTACAAAACCGTTAAATTCGCCAACACAGATCAGAGAATCAACAACACTGGGCAGATGAACCAGTACTGAAGCAGGACTGAAGCAGGACTGAACCAGGTCTGGACCAGGACTAGACAGAGCTGAACCAGGACCAAGTGAGTATGGTCCAAATGAGAAGTGAACCAGGTAAATTCAGAACATCTTTGTGAACCTGGTCCCAGTCCAGATCCTGTGAGTTAAAGAGAAGCTGCAGAAACCAGAGACAGAAGCAGCTCTTTAATAAAAGCACAGACTAACGACGAGAATGAAACATCTGCTAAACGTCTTTTCATGACATGTCTCTTCATTTTCCAACATTGTCAAAATCAGACCTTCCAAACTCATGGTGATAAAATGATCATTCAGATAAATCCGTTTTAGTTTATCTATTTAGTTCATAAATACTTGACAATTCAAAGTCAATTTCAGGAACTTGGGGAAGAAAAAAAAAAGGTCAAAATAAGGTCTGAAAAAGGAAAAGGCAGAAGCTGAAACTTAAGACGCCTTTTAGAATACATTAAACTGAAATAGCTGCTCCACACAAAGACATTTACTCCATAATCATGATTAAATTCTGCTCAGCTTCACAATCAATATATGTTTTAATATTATTCGTCTTCAGTAAAGTCTTGAAGTGTTGTACATTTCTGCAGACTTTTAACTCAGCGACTCATTCCAGAGGTTTACTGCGACCACAGAAACACAAAGCAATTTACATTTGTTCTAAGACTGGGCTTCACAAACATCTCTCTCCCTCTCAGAAGACGGGCACTTTCCCTCCTCTGAAACACATTCTGAACCTCGATGGGGAACTCATTCTTCACCATCCAAACACTTTCTTCCCATTAATCCATTTCTGGGTCAGAGCTGCACCCAGTCCACAGACCCCCAGCCCCTCACTGATCCTGCTACAGCTGCTGAGTCCACAGGATATGATCCATGTTTCCAACTTTATTTATAATTCACATTTCTCTTTCTTGGATCACACTTATTGTGTTTGTTTGTGTTGGTTTGTGTTTCCCACAGCTCTGCACAGTCATGTCGGGGAGCACCAAGGAACAATACAATACATATAATGTTTGGTCAAGCATTCTTTAACCTTATTAATGATTGCTAATTTGCTAAAGTTTTGCATACATCAGAGGAAACCGGTTTCTTTTGTCAAGTTTAAACATTCAGGGTTTTAGTCTGAGTTCAGGAAACTTTCTGGAGCTAAACTTTAACGTCATCAAAGTAAAAGCAGAGAAGACAAAGAGCCTCAGTCACTGCTGCAGCTCAGACACATTTATCACTGTTCAAACTGAGGGTATCGACCCCACAACAACAAGGACGAGGAAGCAGCAGCAGCAGAAGCAGCAGTAGCAGCAGTAGCAGCAGTAGAAGCAGCAGTAGAAGCAGCAGTAGAAGCAGTAGAAGCAGCAGTAGAAGCAGCCGCAGCAGCAGCAGCAGCAGCAGAAGCAGCCGTAGCAGCAGCAGAAGCAGCTGCAGAAGCAGCAGCAGCAGTAGAAGCAGCCGTAGCAGCAGCAGCAGAAGCAGCTGCAGAAGCAGCAGCAGGAGCAGCTGCAGAAGCAGCAGCAAAAGCAGCTGCAGAAGCAGCAGCAGGAGCAGCTGCAGAAGCAGCAGCAGGAGCAGCTGCAGAAGCAGCAACAGGAGCAGCTGCAGAAGCAGCAGCTGCAGAAGCAGCAGCAGGGCAGCTGCAGAAGCAGCAACAGGAGCAGCAGTAGAAGCAGCAGCAGCAGTAGAAGCAGTAGAAGCAGCAGCAGAAGCAGCAGCAGAAGCAGCAGAAGCAGTAGCAGCAGTAGCAGCAGAAGCAGTAGCAGAAGTAGAAGCAGCAGTAGAAGCAGCAGAAGCAGCAGCAGTAGAAGCAGGAGTAGAAGCAGCAGTAGAAGCAGCAGTAGAAGCAGCAGCAGTAGAAGCAGCAGCGCTCTTTAGCGCCCCCCAGTGGCTCCTGGAGCTTCTTCAACAATGCATTATATTGATTTGGGAATGGAGCATACATAGTTTGTTTGAAAGTGGTTTCTGTCGGAGGGAAAAACAATGTTGTAAAAATGTAGATAATATAAAATGTCTATCAACAAAGACTGGAGTCAGAGCGACACATGTTTGAACACGGCGCCAGGCGGTCGCTGTTTTAAACAAAGCGACGCGTGCGACATGAGCCATGGATCCCGAAGGGAAAAGAGCCAATGAGAAGCGAGGATTCAAGGAAGAACCATGAATCCTTTTGCTGTTGCTACATGTTTGCTTTGTGAGGAAAAGTTGTCGAACAACAACAAGTTTCTTGGAAAGACATTTCAAAATGTAATTTGCAGCTGACTCTACAAAGGTGGGAGAGAGAAAAGGCGATTGCACAACTCTTTATAATCCTGTTTCATTTTCATCAATTCAAGACATTATTGTTCACTTGTTTCGTCACAATGTGGCGCTGGTGAACCTTTGGATTTGTTTTCTATTTGTTTATTTTATTTTTACCTTCACATG